TTATCCGTACCAGAAATTTTTCTGAAATTTTCCGAAAATTTTCCAAAATTTTTCAAAAATTTCAAAATTTCAAAAATTTTCAGAATTTTCAAAAAATTTTTCAAAAATTCTTCCAAAATTTTCAGAAAAATTTTCCAAAAATTTCAAAAATGATTTAAAAATTTCAGTAGAAAATTTTTCCAAAAATTTCTAAAATTGTTCACAATTTTTCAAAATGGTTACGCAGTTCCTCCACCAAGGAGCTCTCCCACCAGCCACATTCAAAATTACTGACCCAGGCGATAGTAAAGCCTACCTCCAGAAGGACCCCAAAAAAATAACTCTGAAGCTATAGCCACCGAGACACCGGCAGATGCAGCATGATATTTCACAGATCGCCGGTGGATCCAAAACATCATACATCCGGAGCACTTTCACACCTAAGGTCAGACCCTTCTGAAAATTTGAAAATTTCAGAAAATCTTTCAGAATTTCAAAATTTTCGAAAATTTTGAAAATCTTCAAATATTTTCAAAATTTTTCCGAAAATTTCTAAAAATTTTCAAAAATTTATCCAAAATTTTCAGAATTTTTCCAAAAATTTTCCAAAAATTTTCCAAAATTTTTCAAAAAATTTCAAAAATTTCTGCACTTTCAAAAATTTTCCAAAATTTTCCAAAATTTTTCAAAAATTTCAAAAATTTCCCAAAATTTTCAGAAATTTTCCAAAAATCTTTCTCAAAAATTTTCAGAATTTTCAGAAAATTTTCCGAGTAATTTTCCAAAAATTTTCACAAAATTTTCAGAAAATTTTCCATACAAAACATTTCCTCTAAAATTTTCAGAAAATTTTTCCAAAAATTTTCTAAAATTGTTCACAATTTTTCAAAAATGGTTATGTAGTTCCTCCACCATGGAGCCTCCACCAGCCATTCAAAATTACCGACCCAGGGCGATAGGTAGCCTACCTGTGCTGGACCTCAAAATAACTCGGGAAGCTAATAGCCACTGAGACACCGGCAGATGCAGCATGATACTACAGATGGTCGGTGGATCCAAAACATCATACATCCGGAGCGGCCTTCACACCCAAGGTCAGACCTTCTCAAATTTTTTGAAAATTTGAAAATTTCTAAAAATTTTCAAAAAATTTTCGTAATTTTCCGAAAATTTTTCTAAAATTTTCAAAATTTTTCAAAAAAATTTTCAAAAAAATTATCCGGAAAATTTTCAAATTTTCCAAAATTTTCCAAATTTTCAGAAATTCTCCAAAAATATCCCCAAAATTTTCCAATATTTCCCAATAATTTTCAGAAAATTTCCAGTACCTTTTCCAGGGTCTTCAGAAAATTCTCTGCAGTACTTCAAAATTCTTCCAAAATTCTCCAGTAAATTCTTCCGAAAATTTTCCATAATTTTCTCTAAAAATTTTTGAAAATTTTCCAGAATTCCTCTTGCATTTCATCAATTTTCTGAAAATTCTGTACCTCTTAAAAATTTCAAAATTTTCAGTATTCTTCCAGTACCTCAAAAATTCTTCCAACTCTTTCCTGAGGTTTTTCCAAAATTCTTCCGAAATCCTTTTCCAGTACCTCCGGAAAATCCTCCATGTACCTTCCAAAATTGATGTCTGAATCTTCCCAAATTCTCTCCCAAAAATTCTCATTAAAATCTTCCTGGAAATTCTTCCAAAATTTCCTGGACACTTTTCAGTAGTACTCTAAATTTTCCTGTACTTAAAGCTCAGTAATTTTCCAAAATTTCCAAAATTTTTCCAAAATTTTCCAAAATTTTCAGAAAATTTCCACTGAATTTTCCGAGAAATTTTCCAGTACCAGAATTTTCAGAATTTCCAAAATTTTGCAGGTACTTTCAGAAAATTTCCCAAAATTTCTCAGAAATTTTCCTTAAAATGCATGAGTTTCCTTCCGTACCTAGTACTCTTCCCAAATTTTCCTGAGAAATTTTTCAGTAATTTTCCGAAATTTTAATTTTCGAAAATTTTGAAAATTTTTCAAAATTCTGAAAATTTTCCAAATTTTTCCAAAATTTTCACAAATTTCGAATTTTCAATTTTCTCCAAATTCAAAATTTTCCAAATTTCCCGAAAATTTTCCAAAATTTTTCCAAAATTTTCAGAAAAATTTGCAATTTTCCAAAATTTTCCAAAAATTTTCCGAAAATTTTCCAAAATTTTCCGAAAATTTTTGAATTTTCCAAAATTTTCCAAAATTTTCCAAATTTCTGTACTGTATCTCTAATAATTTTCAGAAAATTTTCAAAATTTTCGAGGAATGTTTTAAAATTTTCCTGAATTCTTCAAAATTTTCCAAAATTTTTCCAAAATTTTCCAAAATTTTCAGAAAATTTCCAAAATTTTCCAGATTTTCCAGTACCTCGAAGAAATTTTTCCGAAATTTTTCCCAAATCTTCCAAAATTTTCTCCCAAATTTCGAAAATTTTCCAATATTTCCTAAAATGTTCAGAAAATTTTCCAAAAATTTTTCTAAAATTTTCCAAAATTAAAATTTTCCAAAATTTTCTGAGTACTCCAAAAATTTTCTGCACCTAAATTTTCAAAAAATTTTTCCGTAAAAATTTTCCAAAATTTTCCAAAATTTTCCAAAATTTTCCGAAATTTTTCCAATATTCTGAAATTTTCCAAAATTTTCCAGAATTTTCCAGAACTTTC